CACACACACACACACACACACACACACACACACACACACACACACACGGTTTGAAAGAAAATGGCCCCCAAAGGAGTGGCACTGTTAGGAGGTTTGGCCTTGTTGGAGGAAGTGTGTCACTATGGAGGCAGCTTTGAGATCTCATATATGCTCAAGATGTTGCCCAGTGTCTCAGACCACTTCTTGTGACCATTGAGTCAAGATATAAGGACTGTCAGCTCTTTCTCCAGCACCGTGTCTGCCTGCACACCACCATGTTGCACCATGATGATAGTGGACTAAACCTCTGAAAATGTAAGCCACCCAATTAAATGTTTCTTTATAAGAAGGGCTGTGGTCATGGTGTCTCTTTACAGCAATAGAAACCCTAACACACACACACACACACACACACACACACACACACAAATAAATAAAATAAATCTTAAAAGTTTTGAACATTGATCTCTTTTCCCCCATCCCTGGCAGTGGCAGCTCACGCCTTTAATCCCAGCACTTGGGAGTCAGAGGCAGGCAGATTCCTGTGAATTCAAGGCCAGCCTGATCTACAGAGAAAATTCCAGGACAGCTAAGACTACAGAGAAACCCTATCTTGAAAAAAAAAAAAAAGCTTCCTCTTTTCCCTATCCTGTTTTTATTTCTTTCTTTTTCTTTTTCAGTTTGTATTTTATAATCTGTTTACTTGTAATTTTAAATTAGTTTTCTAAAGCAATAAGCAATAATAGTCAATTTGAATAATACAAATACATTTCTAAGACCACTACTGTATCATAACTTTGTAAATTCTCTTTTTAATTTCTAGGCTAGAGGTCAGTTGATAGTGGCGCTGCAGAATGCCACACTCTGTCCCCAGAGGCTACAAGTGTGTTATATTACCAGCATGTGGGTTGCTGGGATGTGGCTCAATTGGTAGAGTTCTTGCCTAGGATGCACGAAGCCCTGAGTTTGATTCCCAGCTCTTCATAGAATAAGATATGAGGGCACACACATAAAACCTAGCACTTGCCTGTAGCTCCAGCACCTGGTGGCGGAGGCAGGAGGATTATCTTCATCTATGTATTGAGTTGGAGGCTAGCCTGAGCTGGTGAGACCCTGTCTCAAAAGAAAAAAATAAATAAATAAATAAATAAAAGGTGTGAACAGCCTGCGGGTTGCAATGGCGCTGTGGCCGAGGCTCCGGTCCTCTGGGCTCTCACCTCCACAACTCCGTGATGTGCTTCACAGGTGACATTCTCAATGCCCTGGCAAATGTGTCTGGCCGGAAGCACCCCTCGACAGTCCAGGGGAAGCAGCTGAAGATGTGCCTCCCCATGATGCCTGTGGTGCTCCACCTGGTCATGTCTCAGGTACCGTCTGGGAGCTGTAACACGTGTGGCCCACCCTTGTCCCCTGGAGTGGCGCCATCTCTCCTGAGATGACTCTTCCGTCCGTCTGTCACTGAGATGACTCTTCCGTCCGTCTGTCTGTCGCCCCGCAGGTGTTCCGGCCTCAGGTGGTGACAGAGGAGTTCCTGTTCAGCTACGGGACTGTTCTTGTGAGTAGCACGCCTCAGGTCAGGCTAACAGTGCTGCCACTGCTGCTGGCTGCGGGATGGGCTGTGAGAAGGAAGGAATTAAAAGTCTAAATGCCATTTGTTTGTAGGGAAGTGACCTTTTTATATTTTTTTTATCTGTTCACTGTAATAAAATTTGACATTTGGGGAAAATACATTCTCTCCTGATAATGTATTTTGTTCAGAGACAGCCCCTAATAGGGTAAAAAAAAAAAAAAAGCTCACATAAACACTCGATAGACATCAAGTTAAGGATTTGAAAGGACGTGGGTGTGAGTGGGCTGAGATACCGTGGCTGCTGACTTCGGGGCTCTCTGTCCAGCCTGTGCATGCCTCTCTAGGACGACGCTACGAAGTCAAACTCAGTTTTGCTCCTCCTTTTACTTGACTTTGACAGTGTGGGAAGATGGGGAAACCAAGTGATTGTGCTACCTTTCACTCTGGTTCTGCACACGTCTTCCTGAGGATTCTGTGGCCCAGGAAGTCACAGGGTGTGTGGTGGGTGTGGGGAGGGCAGCTTAGTGACGTCACTCATCGCCCGGAGCCTGACCTTGGCAGCTTCACGAAGCCTGACCTTGGCAGCTTCACGAAGCCCAGGTTGGAAGGTTGTCCTGGAGCCAGGAGACAGTGCAGTGGCGTCTCAGTGTCTGTGTTGTTCTGCAGGAACAAAGTGCTGCTGCTCAGGAACGAGAGGGTGGGTTTCTAGAAGGTTCATTCTAGGAGAAAGGTGATGTTTCTAAACACACAGTGAATGGAGATGTCTGAGGTCAGAGCAGCAGGTCTGGGCAGTCATGAGGGACTCTTTGGTGTTCAGTTTTGACTTGATTCTCATGCTATGAATCCCGAAGTCTAGAAAATTCCTGCAGTGCACTGGCTGTGCATTTTTCTGTATTTGTAATCCCTGCACTGGTCATCTCACCGTCTGTAATTTGCACTCTGTCTCTTAGCAAGACCATATTCTGTAAGGACACGATAGACAAGTCAGGGTCTAGAACAGGCTTGGCCCCTGTGGCCTGCCGTGGAGTGTTGAGTATAGACGTGGCCTGTGTTTGTGTGTGCTCTCCCCCAGCTCCTTCCTACTCCCTCCCTCCCCCACCTCTTCTCTCTGCCTGCAGTGAGCACACTTTATGTTTTCACAGCCTTGCAAGTGTCCTCGTTGGGGAGCCTCCACGGACCTTCAGCGTGTGTTTCAGAGAGGGACGGCCACATGGGCTCAGAGACAGGGATGGAGGCCCCACTGGGAGGGCTCCTCTCTTCTCTTTCCTGGTCTTCTGTAGGGTCGCCTCCAAGCAGGTGTTTGTGGAGAACTGAAAACAACTTGCCTGGTTCGATATCATGTGAAAAAACCCGTCACATTTCTTTGTCTTTGGTTCTCAGGAGGGAGTTTAAACAAATAAAATGGCAAACATTGTATTTTAAGGCTGGCGAGATGGCTCTGTGGTTAAAGGTGCTTGTAGACAAGCTCAACGACCTGAGTTGGAGCCCCAGATCCATACAAGGGAAGGAGAGGCCTGACTCCTGAAAGTTATCTAAGTGCACATGCGTGTGCATGCAGGTGTGGGCACACACACACACACACACACACACACACACACACAGGCATGAGATGCTGTCTGGGCTATTTTCCCAGTGAAGTCACTTTCCTAGTCTGCATCATGGCTGGTCCTAGGGTACCTCCTTGACTTTTCTCACTGTACCTGTTTGTACCTTCTTGAACTCAGTGTTGATGGCATTGATGTGACACTGGAGAGCAGTAGGTCTCTGTCTAATCCACAGCCTGGTTCAGTTACCTGTGCAGTTTGTGTCCATTTGTCATGAGCTGTTGTGACATGAGAGCTGTCATCAGATGATGCTCTTATGGGTTAATCTTCCAGAATTATCAAATTGTTATTCCAGTTCCTGTATCCTTCTGATGTCAGCTGAGAAAACCAGCCCACCTCACATCTTCCAGCCCCTGGAAATGAGAAGTGTAGGCTGGCATACAAAAGCTTTGAAAACATTTGTTTTCATTTTGGTTAGCAAAGGTTTCCTAAACATCCCTGGAGTCTGCAGAGCTCATTCAGAAGAATGTCACACACGGTCATACACAGAGCAGTGTGTGTGAGTGCACACATGCCTGCCTGTTCTCCACATATGTGGAGGCTGGAAGTTGACCGTGGGTGTCTTTCTCCATCTCTTCCGTACTTTATTCTTTGAGACAGGGTTGTTGTGGAACCCAGAATTTGCTGGTTGTCAGGGAGCCTCTAGATTGTCCTGCCTCTGCCTTCCCATCTTACATAGTCAGCTCCAGGTGCCACTTGACGTGACCCAGCTTGGGGAGGGGGAATCTCAACTGACAAATTGCCCAGACCAGATTGGCCGGTGGGCTTGCCCATGAGCCATTTTCTTAATTGCTAGTGATGTAGTGGGCTCAGTCCCCTGTGGGCGGTGCCATCCCTGGGCAAGCGGGCCTGTTGCGTAAGTGAGCAAGCCAGTAAGGGATGCTCCTCCACGGTCTGCCTCAGGCTCCTGCCCTGAGTTCTCTCAGTGATGGACTGTGCCCTGCAAGCTAAAACAGACCTTTTCCTCCCAATCTTGTTTCTGGTTGTGGTGTTTATCACAGCCAACTAGGACACCGCTGCTGTGGGTTTCAGGTGTGCTCTGCTGCTGCGCTGCCCGGCTTTGGCGTGGGTCTGGGCATCGGACTCAGGTCCTTGTGTTTGCTGGGCAAGCCCTCGCCCTGCTGAGCCGTCTTTCTAACCCAGCCTTGCGGAGGAAAGCTTTACGAGGTCCATCTCTGTAGCTGGAGAGTTTTCTCTCCCGGTCCCACCAAGCCCTGGCAGTCCGACAGCCCACTTATAAAATAAACACACAGACGCTTATATTATTTAAACTGTTTGGCCTAATGGCTCAGGCTTCTAGCTGTCTAGTTCTTGCATCTTAAATTAATCCATTTCTATAAATCTATACCTTGTCACGTGGCTTGTGGCTTACCAGCATCTCCACATGCTGCTTGTCATGGCGGTGCCTGGCAGTCTCTTCCTCCTCCACCTTTCACTTCCCAGAATTCTCTCAATTCCCCTTTCTGTTAGTCCCGCCTATACTTCCTGCCTGGCCACTGGCCAATCAGTGTTTTATTTATTAACCAATCAGAACAATTTGACATACAGACCATCCCACAGCACATCTCGAGATCAATATTCTTTTCAGTATTTTCCAAGTATGTTTGAGTAGTCTCCATCACAGCAGGCTTATCAGTTAGTTTTTAAAAACTGCCTGGATCTGAGGTACTCCGTTCCAGCCAGAAACAGCTTATGCCAGAACTTACTGCCTGTGGGTAAAGTGGGCTGGAGAGAGGCCCTGAGCTGCCCGTGTCTTCATTCACTGGAAGGGTCCTTAAGGGGGACCTGGAGGGTATGGCCCTGTGCATCTCACAATGGCACCAGGCCACAGTTTGCTGTGGTGTGGAAGGGACATCGCCATCCTCATCAGAGCAGCTGTGACAACTTGGCATTTCCCTCACAGGACGGAGAGGGCATTAGACCCCTCTCAGATGTATCCAGTTCTGCCTCAGTTGCACATGGTCATGTGGTCTGAGGAGGCTCTAGACCAGTGGTTCTCAACCTGGGGGTTGTTACAACCCTTTCGTGGGGCTCACTTATCAGATATTTACATTACAATTCATAACAGTAGTATTATGAAGTAGCAATGAAAATAATTTTGTGGTTGGGGTCACTACACTGTGAGGACCTGTAAAGGGTCGCAGCAGCGTGAGGGAGAGTGAGAACCGCTGCTCTGGAGTGTGTAGAGGGTAGAATATGGCTGAAGGGAGGTGGGGAGACTCCGTCTGTGCAGCTGTGGGAACATGTCATCCCTGCTGGTGGTGTACTGCCGGTCACCCTCAGCCCTGCTCTGTAAGGAAACCCAATAAACCCAGTGGCTGGCCAAGTCGGACATTGATGGAGCAGTTGCTTTGGTCTGTCATTGGTGCTCTTTTACGGTAGAACATTCTAGATAATTACATATGGGACGTGAGTGTAGAAATTAGCTCTATATAAGCATTTCCCCCAAATAAATGAAATTTGAGTCTTAAGGCGACTGCTATTTGGCCGCAGTGGTGGGTGCTTTTAAACCATCTTGGGCTTTCACAGGCTCTACCCAGCTGCTGATTGCTGCCTTCCACCCTGCTGGGGAGGCAGCCTGTCCCCACACCAGCTGCCTCTTCAAGGCTTGCAGCCAGAGCTGGGGAGGCTGTGGGGACACTCCTATGGATTCTCATGTTTTGAGGCCCCCATTGAACTGGGTCAGAAAACAGGAAGTGATGGCAGGGAAACCAGTGGTGGGTCCTGATGGATGTTGACCTACTGTGCACTGTGTTTCCTGTGTCCTTTCCCAAGGTTCTTGGTTGATGAGCCCAGGACAGGGACTTGTCTGTGCATGCTGGGTGCTCAAGTCCTGCCCTCTCTGGACTGTAGAAGTGCAGTGATTGACAGGCAGGACAGTCCCGCCTCTGTGCACAGCTTTCTGATAAGTGAATGCTGATTTGTTGATGGCGCTTGGTTTGTGTTGTGGAGATGGTGCCTGCCATGCTTTAAAACAAACTGCCAAATGCTCTAATGATGTTCTTATGAGGAGTTTTTCCATCTGCACTGACTGCAGACTCCCGTCCCCAGCTTGCTGGTGGGGGTGGGGGTGGGGTGGAGTGGGTGGGTGGTTTGTTCGCTTCCTGGAAGGAGGTCTGAACAGGCCTGGGCAGGTCTGCTCTTGGCCGGAGCAAGTCCTTTACCCACTGCACCGTCTCTGCAGCCCCGACAGGGCTCTTTTCTGCCCTCAGTCTTGCAGCCAATGGCCTGGCCCTGGGTTCTGTGTGGAGACTGCTCTGCTGCCCACGCTCTCGGTGGCCATCTGCAGATGCTCTGTGTCCTGGGGTCACCTGCAGCTTCCTGTGACACTGCTTCTTGCTTTCCTGGTGCTGTGCCACTGACCATACAGCTTAAGGAAGAATTTATTTTGACTCAAAGTTGAAGGGTTATTTTACCATCTGGATAATGCTACTGACATGAACAAAAGAAAAAGAAGAAGGAAAAATTAACTTTAAATCCCAAGGATGTATGAGACAGTGGGTGGTGGCTGCAGTCTGTCTCCTCAGGACCCGGGGTCCCGTCTGTTCTGGGTGTCTGTTGTGGAAGCTGCTGTCAGGTAGTCAGCCTTCCTGTCGAGTCTTCAGAATAATTGCACAGAAAGGATTGATGTGCACAGCCCGTGCTCACTGTGGTCACCACAGAGAACACACACACAACCGTCTGCTCCCTGTGGTCACCACAGAGAGCACACACACAACCCTCTGCTCCATGTGGTCACCACAGAGAGCGCACACACAACCGTCTGTTCCATGTGGTCACCACAGAGATGTGCACAGCCCGTGTTCACTGTGGTTATCACAGAGCACACACACAACCATCTGCTTGATGTGGTCACCACAGGGAGTGTACACACAGCCCTGTGCTTGCCGTGGTCACCACAGACAGCTAAGTTGATTTTTTGTTTTTGTTTTTGTTTTGCTTTTGTTTGTTTGTTTTTTGAGACAGGGTTTCTCTGTGTAGCTTTGGCGCCTTTCCTGGATCTCACTCTGCAGACCAGGCTGGCCTCAAACTCAGAGATCCGCCTGCCTCTGCCTCCCGAGTGCTGGGATTAAAGGCGTGTGCCACCACTGCCCAACCTAAGTTGACTTTTTTAAAGTCAAAGATGTTAAAAAATATTCTGATGGAAAGAAATTATTTTGGTTTGTCACTCTAGTGGACCACATCCCAAGGTGAGGTCACACTGCATGTGTTTGCCCATTGTCTTTCTTGTGAAATAACTTTTGTTTATTGGGGATTTGCATGCATACACCACAGTGCCTGTGCAGGTAGCTTACGGAGTCCATGCTCTACTTCTGTCCCTGGGAGTGAACTCAGGATGTCTGCCTTGGTGCAAGCTCTTTGACCTGCTGAGCCAGCCCGCCTCCGCCTGTCCCCTTGAAAAAAAGACATTTCTTTCTGAATGTTTAGTTTGGCATCAAATTAATATTCATTTAAAAATTGTGTCTCATTTTTGTAAATTTGTGAAACTCTTTCATCCAAGTTGTTATAAGAAGCTTCGGTTGCGCTCTATTACAGTGAACTTTAAACGTCTTTGCTTGCTGATCTGAAGAGAACTGAGGTTTTGAATTTTTGCTTTTTGAAGAACTTTGATTTCCTGAATTCTTGGGCTTTGTTTATGACAAACCCCTTCATGTTTTCATTTCTGTTTCTTCCCACTGAGGCAAAATAAAGAGCAAGAGAAGGAGCCGCTCAGCTGGGGAGCCCAGCCACCTGTGACAGGGACTTTTCCCTGGGCATTTTTATGACTAACTCTTGTCTCATTTGTATGGAATGTATAGTTTGATATCATTTTAGTAAAAGATACATCGTAGGTGCTGAAGAGATGGCTCAGTGATTTGGAGCACTGGCTGCTTTTTTAGAGGTCCTGTGGTTCAAGGTCCCGGCACCCATATGCAGCTCACAGCCACCTGTAACTCCAGCCTCTGGATCCGGTGCCATCTTCTCGCCTCTGTGGGTCTCAGGTGCACATGTGGTACACAGAAATACATGCAGGCAAAACACCTTCCACATAAAAGTAAAATTTAAAAGATTGTTTAAAGACTTCATTACAATGTTCAGAGATGCATGTGTGGGAAATTTTAAAATATCCAGGAAATGGTAGTTCCAGGGCAGTGGCTCTCTTGCTGGGATGGGGAGTTCACGTGAGGAGCTGAATGTTCTTGGTCTGTCAACTCCACTAGTAGATGGGGAGGTCCCTTGTTCTCCACGGCACAGTACACACAGTCTACTGTGCAGTGCACATGTATATATTACCTTTTTTGTTTATCGATTTTTTTTCTTTGCTTATTTGGGGACAGAGTCTTGCTATGTAGCCCAGGTTAGCCTTGAATTCACTAAACAGTCCAGGCAGGCCTTGGACTTATATTGATCCTCCTGCCTCAACCTCTTGATTGCAGGGAGCACAGGCTTGAGCTACCACATTTGGTTAAATCATACCACAGTAGACCAATTTCTTCTCTGGGTTAATAGCTAATAGCTAGTCACTTTTCAGTTGCATGGTCATCTTATATTTTATTGGCTGTTTTCCATACTTTTGGATGCTCGACAATGCTCTGCCACCAAGCTATAGCCCCAGCACTCTTGCTGGGTGTACACAAAGCATTATATTTGATGGTGTTTGTGAGCTAAAGGCATGAACAGTGTGTGACTGTGTACAAAGGACACGGGTGTTTACAGGGTGACAGAGACCATCTCCCTGAGCTCACAGTCAGGGAGCAGCTGTCCTGTTCAGATCTTCCAGACAGGGACTGAGAAGGGGAACCATCAGGGCACTCATGGCCCAACTGCTGCGTCTTTCCTCTCGCACGGTGCTGTGGTGCATGCGAGAGTGGATAGGGTTTGGTAACTCAACACAGTGGTGATTCTAAGTGGGGCACTGGGTAGTGTTGAAACCCTTGGGGCCTTGACACCCTGTACACCAGGAACTTCACTGTCACCATGTGAGGTGTCAGCCATTCATGACACCCTCAGGAAGTGAAGGGGACAGTGGCATGCCACTGGGAATGGTTATGTGTCAGCCGGATTGTTCTCATATCTATCTATCTATCTATCTATCTATCTATCTATCTATCTATCTATCTATCTATCTATCTATAGATATATATAGAGAGAGACAAGATCTTCACGCCGTAGGTGCGGCTGGCCTTGAATTCACTATGTGTCGTCACTGGGTAGCCTAAAGCTCAAGGCTACCCTTCTGCCCCAGCCTCCTAAGTGGTGGGGTGACTGCATAAGCCACTGTCGCCGGTGGCCGTTCCCACTTTTGTAAGTTTTTTATGGCCACTGAATTATTACAGCATTAAATCTCCTTTGTATATTCAAAAATCATGGTTTTAATATATGTATAGTAAAATTTTGATGAATTATTTTTAGGGGGCTGGAGAGAGATTGCTCAGCAGTTAAGGGCACTTGTTGCTCTTGCAGAAAATCTGGGTTTAGTTTCTAGCACCCTGTGGTGGCTTCCAACTGTCTTTAACTCTAGTTCTAGGGGATCCAGTGCCCTGAGTCCTTGGGCACTGCGTGCACATGGTCCACATATTTATGAGCAAAGCACTCATGCACATAAACCTTAAAAAATTAAAATATTTCTTTAAATTAAGTGTATGTATGTATCTATGTGTGTGGCGTGTGTACACATGTGAGTGCAAGTACCCGAGGAGTCCAGATGCAGGTGTCAGGTCTCCTGGAGCTGGAGTTAGAGTTGTGAGCCAGCCTTGGGTGCTGGGAATTGAACTCTTAACCTTTGAGCCACCTTTCCATATATATGAATAGTATATTGTATGCATATACTCTGTCTAGTATTTACATAAGCACATTTTAAACTGATTGCAGTGTTTGTAATATATGTATGTATTTATTTTCCCATGGGTTTAAGACTCAGGGGTGGTTTCAGGCAGAATGTTAACGACTCACGTTTTGTCTCGGGGTTGTTTTCACACTCCCATTCACTGAACACTTCTCCTTTTTCAGAGTCACATTAAGTCAGTTGACTTGGGAGAAACGAACTTAGATGGAGCCATAGGTGAGCACCCATTTGATGCATCTGAGTCATGAGGGGCACGGGTGGACGCCTGCAGTAACGACCTCTGTGCTCCTAGGGATGGTGGCTGCGGAGGAATTCATCAAGATCACCTTGTCGGCATTCGAAGCAGTGATACAGTACCCCGTTCTGCTGGCCGACTACCGCTCAACGGTCAGTGTCTGGGAAAACCCTCCGTCATTTACTTGATAATCCTGTGTACGTGTGTGCCAGGCTGACAGTGTCCATCCCAGGGAGGAAACCGTTCAAAAAAGCAGGGAGAGCCTGGGAAGCTGGTTCCAGTTTTGTTGGCTGGGGAGGGGTAAGTTTTCTGACTATTCCCTTGACTTCCCTCCCCCTTCTCAGAAGCAAACACCTGTGGGAGAGGCTTTGCAGACACTGAGGATGTCCCCTGCTTCTGTAGCTGGGATTCCGGGCTTCTCCTGGCCCTTCTGTGCTCAGGCTCCTGCCCAAGTAGCCGCTGATTTGGGTTGTTTTCTTCTGTAGTAGGGAGACATCTTGTAGACATTTTGCTTGTTTTTTTCTCTCCACACCTACTTTGCCTCTGCAGTTTCCTGATCGCCGTAGACGGGCTCCACTCGGTGATGTGTTTGTTTCATGGAGTTGCTAATACTGACATCTCTGGTGTTGGTCACATTGTGCTCCTGGCACAGTCGTCCAGTGTCTGTGAGACTGCCTTGTTGGCACCCTGCTTGTCCTTCCTCTCAGAGCCTTCTGTGTGCATGCCTCCCTCCTCAGATTCCTCATGCTGGCCTCTGCCAGGAGCCTGCTCTCCTCCAGTTGAGACCCTGTCAAACCACAGCCTTCTCTGAGGACATGCTTCTGTGTTCTGGGAGCGATGTGTGGCCAAGGCTTAGTGGAAGAGCTGGTGTTCCCTACCCTGAGAGTCAGATCCCCTCCTCGGCACAGACCCATGTGCCAGGTGGCTCACTAAATGCTGTGCTGGAGGAGCCTGTGATCCCAGGAATCCTGTGGTGGTTTGTGGGTAAATCCTTCCTGTCATGGTCCATTGCTCTCTGCTGCAGACTTCCACCCAGAAATAGGTCTCAAAGGCTTTAATAATGTTAGGATTTGGGTTTTTTGTATCTCATCACAGTTTTCAATGAGAGTTGGTCCACATTCCGCTCACACCTAACATAACAGGAAAGACCGGTCACAGAGCTTTCCCAGTGAGTCCCAGGTCTTTGATTGAGATGTCACTTATGGATCCTGTTGCTTAATGAACAATAACCTCATGGCTGATTTGTTCAGATCCAGTGTTTATAAATATCTGTATTGCATTTAAATAGAAATTTAATTAGTGTGTTTTCTAATCACGAAACACAAGTGTGCTAATTATTGCCACTACAGCCTCAATTATAATAGAAAAGGCATAGTCACAACTTACCACTTTATAAAAAATGCTCTCTAATGCCGCAGCTCATGGGAAATCTTCTAATTATCTCTTTTTTGGGCATGACTGGAATGCATGAAGAAAAAACCCTATACCCCAGGGAGCCTCTGATTGTTTTAGATTTCAGCACATGCCGTGTTCAAGGCTCCTGATCGATACCTGCTCATACGGAAGCAGATGGCTGTATTTAACTGTTACTGAGCCTGGAGCCAGCCCAGGTGCTTCTGTGGGGTGGCCAAGCCATTCAGTTTCAGTAGGATCACTGGAGTCAGCTCCAGCCAGGACAGGCATCTTGTGAGTCACGTTATACTGAGTGGGGGCCTGACCAAGGAGGCATCGCTTAGAACAAGACAACTCCAGATCCACCTTGACTGCCAACTTGACACCTCGGAAGGGAAGGAGTCTCCACGGGAACTGTCTAGATCAGGTTGCCCCGTGGGCATGTCTGTAGGAATTGTCTTGATTGTGGTAACTGTTGTGGGGGGGAGCAACCCACTGTGGATGGCACCATTCTCTGGGTTTGTGTCCTGGACTGTACAAAAGAAGAAAAAGTGAGTGTGAGCTAGCCCAAAATGGTATCAGTAAAGTGAGTGTGAGCTAGCCCAAAACAGTATCAGTAAAGTGGGTGTGAGCTAGCCCAAAACAGTATCAGTAAAGTGGGTGTGAGCTAGCCCAAAACAGTATCAGTAAAGTGGGTGTGAGCTAGCCCAAAATAGTATCAGTAAAGTGGGTGTGAGCTAGCCCAAAACAGTATCAGTGCGCACGCTACTAAGAAAAAATAGGAAGTGTCTGCTAGAGGCAGAAGGTGAGTGTGACTCTGCTTGGCCTGGCTTAGAGTTGAGCAGGCATCATTTGGAGACATCTTTATCTCAATGATCTTTTGTTAGATCTCCATGCTGGTGAAATCAGTCCTTTCCCAAAATATGTGGCTGGATTAGAAGTACTGTTTGGTGCCCCACCCTCCTGTCCCTGTGTGGGACAGGGCTGGAGTCGGGCCAACCCCACAGAGTGGTTTTCCTGGCACTGGACATTGATACTTCTCCTGTGTAATTTCAGAGAGAATTCTGCCTGCATTTAAGGGAATGTAATTAACCTCATGCTGTGAGAACCTTGGGTCAGCTGCGAAGCCTGTAGATTTCATTTTCAGAGTGTTGCTTTAAACATACAAGCTAAAATGCACGCCGTTTTATGGAAAGCCATCCCTACTGAAGCATCAGTTGATGACACGTTTTGAAAGGACACGTTTGCCAGGTGCTGGGCGGTGCTGCCATGCACACTGAGCTCTTTTGTGTCCAGCGACCTGCTCTGGCCTTGGCACCCTTGTACTGCTGTGATTCTCTCCACACTCCTCCAGCCCCTGGGGGTGGGGGTGGGGTGAAAGCAGAAGCTTGGGGTCATGGGGACAGGCTGGAGGGGTGAGCCTGCCTTCTGCATTTAGATTTCCATCTTGTCTGGTGTCTTCTAAATGTCTGGTATCTCTAGATGACCTTTAATTCCATCTTGGACATTTTAAAATGAGAGCACTTGGTCCTCCCCATCTGCAAGATCTGTGACTGCAGATCTTTGAGATCGGAAAACAGTAACAGAAGAAACATCAAGTGGCCAGGGCATCGCAGGCTCTAAGAACCTAAGTCTGATACCTAGTGGCTGTTTATTTCTGAGGACCAGAGCCAAGCCATGGAGTCGCACATACCTGCCCTTCCCCAAAACCCTGGCTCACTGACCCTTTGTTGCCCCTGTTTGTGTGTGCACATACTATAAATGATCACAGTTTCGTACAAGTAACTACTGTGTTTTGATAGTAGTGGTGATGAGATTGTCGGCTCCTCTACATACTTTACTTTGTGTTCGTGTAAACATAATGTAGCTAATGGTGTCAGCACAGGAGTCAGTGTGTTCGTGTTAGGATGTGTCGGTTGCACACACGCCTCAGCCAGTGGTCCTTGAGAAATACCTGCAGGACTGCTTGTTGGACATTCTCCATATATGCATTACTCCTAACAGCTCCAGGAACCAAAAACATTTCTTGGCCCTGTGCCTTGAAGACTATAATTACTCTATATTTCAAATTATATTTTCATGTTTTCCTTTTTGCAAGGGTCAATATGTATTAAGGTGCACATTTTGCCAAAAGAGAGATGGTCTCCTTTTTCTTATTTGGATCTGAAATACAGTGACCTGTTTTGAAAACCACAAATTATGAAATAAGATATTAACAAAATTGATCAGATTGCTTTTTACTTTTTTGTCCTTTAGTGTGAATTGCTACGTGGGCACCCATGCTCACGTAATTTTTTTTTATTTCCTTATTTTATTTATGTGTATAGTCGAAAGTTTTCTTCAGTCCTGCCCAGCCCTGTGGTCCTGCACCTGCTTATAAAATAATCACTCAGAGGTTTAATGTTATTTACAAACTGTATGGTCTATGGCAGGCCTCTTGCTAACTAGCTCTTACATCTTAAATTAACCCATTTCTATTAATCTATGTTTTGCCACATGTTCCGTGTCTTTACTGGTCTGCTGACATCTTGTTCCTTCAGAGCAGCTGGCGTCTCTCCAGACTCCGCCTTTCTCTTTCCTGTCTCTCTCCTTGGATTTCCTGCCTGCCTCTAAGCTGCCTTGCCATAGGCCAAAGCAGCTTATTTATTAACCAATGGGAACAACATATATTCAGTGTACAGAAAGATATCCCACGGCATACGTGTGTATGTGTGCGCATCTTTGTGAGGTTATGCACACATGAGTGCAGTGCCCACAGAGGCCAGAAGAGGGTGTTAGATTCCCCACAGCTGGATTACAGGTAGCTGTGAGTCATTCAGCATGGTGCTGGGCACCGAGCTCTGGTCCTCTGAGCATGTGTGCTCATAACTGCGGAGGTGCCTCTTCACGCATGCACTTATTGAGCAGCCGTCTGATAAAGAAATCAATGCAGTAGCGTAAAAGGGAGCAGACTCTTGTTTACATGTTTAGATTCTCCTCCTCTGCAGGTTACTTCTGCACAGGCTGTTTCTCACTTCTGAGGATGGAGATTGTACTGTGGGACCAGCTGCAATTGCCTTGAGATAGTGAAGAACAGCCACGTTCATTCAAACAATGATAGTAGATTAGCTTCTGACAGGCTCTGACCATGAGTGCGGGGTCACAGGCTGCCGTCCTTCATAATGCGGACTGCTGTGCCATCTGCGTTGTTCTGTGAATTGGTTTCCCCACTAAGAACGACTGTGAGATTTCCCGTTCTGTTTTCACTCATGTAGTCAGGTCACAGAGGAGTGGGATTGTTGGGTCTTCAGGGTGTGGGTGGTGGTGTGAGACTGGCTTCCAACTTTCCATGTGACGTTCTCATTCATTGGTTGTAGTACCTGTGTCCCATCTTTGCACAGACCAGCAGGCCCTGCTGTTTTGTTTGGGTTTATGTAGCAGGAATCTTAAAAGGTCTTATTAATAAAATCAAACCTGAGCCAGGTATTGGGCTGAATGCTGGAAAATCAGAGAGACAGAAAGGCCACAGCCACCTCACCTCGCCAGTTCCTCAGCTGATCCTGTTCCCTCAGACTGGAAGCCTCTGAGTCCTCATCCAGAATGAATCTCAGCTGAACTGCTGCACAAAAGCCTGAAACCTTAACCAGCTAAAAGCTTCTAGTTCCTGGTCCTCACACCTTATATATCTTTCTGTTTTTGCCCTCACTTCCTGGGATTAAAGGCGTGAGTCACCATGACTGGCTGTTTCCAGTGTGGCCTTGATCTCACAGAGACCCAGAGGGATCTCTGCCTCTGGAATGCTAGGATGAAAGGTGAGAGTGCCACCATTTTCTGGCCTCTGTATCTAGTTGCTGTTCTGTCTCTGACCCCAGATAAGTTGATTAGGGTACACAATATTTTGGGGGAACACAATACCACCACATTTCCCCTTATTTTGTCTAAAATTTAAAAAAAGATTATAACTAATACAAGAAAAATTATATCCAATAAGTATATACAATATACACAGTCAAGATTACATTAATAATGTCTAGTCCATTAACATTTGACAGATTCAGACAAAAACTCCATTATATATATTAACAATGTCTAGTCCAGTAACATTTGATAAACTCAGACAAAAAATTTTCATTACTTATCTTATTTAAAACAAGTAGTTCCTTTTTAAAAGTATTTTTTCTTTTCATAATAGATTCAGTAATCTAACTTTTCTCATTTTTATATCTTCTCCATTTTTCTTTTCAGTGTAGATTTAGTGATCTACCCATTTATCCTATTATTTCTTTATCTTTTTTTTCAGAATAGACTCAATGATCTATCTCATATCTATAGGTTTAGACTAGCTGGGCATAAAGTGTTATCTCTTTTAAATGCCGTGTATCTGACGTCACTGGGGCTGAGTCATTCTGTGTGTCTGGGCTGTGCAGGCTTCTTCACTTTGGAGATTTCACTCTTCCTGTCTGCTGTCTAGTTCTTGGCCTTCCTCTTCACAGGGCTTTGTTTGGATGTATTTTACATGGCGATCCACCCTCAGTTCCCAGGACCGCAGACAGTCTCGTCAGGGCCTGTGCTCCTCACTTCGTTTAGGGGAGTGTGGTGCTTAACAGACAACCTGGCAGGATCTGGAATCAATGCAGACGGGCCTCTGGGTGTCCAGGAGGGGTTATCTAGATGAGGGGTTATCTAGATGAGGTCGGCTCATCTAGACCCACACGTGGGCAGCACATTCCTCAGGCAGCATCCTGGGCTCTACTTCCTGACTGTGGGTCATGTGACCAGCAGCCTCCAGTTTAGGCCCACTGTGAGGGACTGTACCCCCACACTGCTGCCCCAGATGACCTCTCCCATCCCACGTCACCTTTGGCCTTCCTCTCTGTCCTTTGATAGTGACTCTGCCGTGGACAGATTGGTGCCCAGTAGCCATTTTCTGCAGGAAGCTCTGAGCTACAGCTTCCTGTCCTTTCTTCCAGGTCATCGATTACATTCTGCCACCCTTGGTCTCCTTGGTTCAAAGTCAGAATGGTGAGTGAGACTATGGTACTGAGAATCCGGTGCACATTTCTTGGTTTTGGGTTTTGGAGATAACCTGGGGTGACCCGGTCCTCACCACCCTCCAGCCTTGCAAGAGTATGTTCGGTCAGGATGAGCACGTACCCCGTTCTTACTCACGTTCTTGCCATTCTTCATTCCAGTGGAGTGGAGACTCTTCAGCCTGCGGTTGCTCTCGGAGACTACAACCCTGCTGGTGAGCCAGGAGCCGGAGGATGGGGACGAAGAGGCCAGCTGTGACTCCAACAACAGTCTTCTGGTGCTCATCAGGGACGAGCTGCTCCCCCAGTAAGCACTGTGCCGCCCACTCACAAGGGGACGCTTTGTCCAGCTGGCCCGACACTGGGGTCAGCGCTCTATGTCCCTGTGTCTTTGCACATGCTTTCCTGGTCCTGTGCTGGGGGTCTCCACACAAGCCGTGGCTGTCCCACTGAGGAGGAGCCAGAAGAGTCTGGGCCCCACTTCAGAGCCTCTGTTGGGCGTTGTTTGCTGGGTACAGTACTCTGAGGAAACCTGAAAGATGTTCCTCGCTGGGGGCCGGTGGAGTGGTGGTTATGATTCAAGAACATGGACTTGAGACTTCTGGCACACCTCAGCAATGAGAGTAATGGAGGCCAGTCTTCCCTTTCCCCAGACTCTTTCCGGAGGGCTCAGTAGCCTAGGTGAAGAGTATGAACGTGGACATGGCAGGGCCTGTTCTTCCTTCTTGTTCCTGCGTGGCTCACACAGCAAAGGCCACGCAGCAGATTCCCAGGAGCCCCCGGTGGGGGAGGGGAGTCCTCAGTTTGATCACACAATAATTTCTGTTTATGTCGAGAGGGTCTCTCTCTCTGTCACCCAGGTTTTCCTGGAACTTGCTATGCAGCCCAGGCAGGCCTGGAGTTGACACTTCGTCACTGTGCTGACGTTATAGGCATGCAGACCACGCCTGCGCATGGTGCTAAAGAGAGGTCAGATGTAAGACTGTGTTTTTCATCACTGTGCATGCCTGGTTATGGCTTCCCTCAGGCCTGGGCTTGGTCTCAGTCAGATGAGCAGGCATTCCAGAAAGGCAGCCTTGCCCGAGGCATCCCCCTGTCTGTTCGAAAGTTCCCTGTCTGTGGCATGGAAGACAATTGTCACAGAAGAGGAGACAGGTGGATCATGTGATTTTACCCGTGGTGAGAGTGACTTTACCCGTGGTGAGAGTTTGAAATGCCTTACAGAGAGTTAGATCCACTTGAAAACATAAAATCAAAATCTAACATTTCAAGTGGCTTAGGTCCCTGCCTGACTGGCTGAGCAAAATGCATGATGGGAAAGGACTGATCTCCTCCAGCTGCAGGGCAGTGACAGGCCAGCTCTTTGTCATCGCTCACGTCCTGCAGCTTTTTGTGTTGCAATTTCAGAACATCTAACTGAAGAAGTTGCTCATTTGTATTTGTGTGTGTGTGTGGGGGGGGGTGAGCACCTGTGTGGGGGTGAGTGCCTGGGTGTGTGAGTGAGTGCCTGGGTGTGTGGGTGAGTGTGTGTGTATGTGTGTGTGGGGTGAGTACCTGTGTGTGGGGAGGAGGTGAGCGCCTGTATGTGTGTATGTGTGTGTGTGGGTGGGTGGGTGCCTGTGTGTGTGTGGGGGGTTTTGGGGAGGGTGAGCACCTCTATGTGGGTGAGTTCCTGTGTGTGTGAGTGAGTGCCTGTGTGTGTATATATGTGTGTTTGTGTGAGTGAGCGCCTGTGTGTGTAGATGAGCACCTGTGTGTGTACATGTGTGTTTGTGTGGGTGAGAACTTGTGTGTGTGGGGGCGAGCACCTGTGTGTACAGACGTCAGAGGACAACTTTCAGAAGCCGATTCTCTCCTTCCACCATGTGCGTTCCAGGGCTGGATCTTGAGCGATCCATGGGGCTTGGCGGCAAGCACTTTAACCCAGTGAGCCTTCTTGCTGAACCTGCTGCTCAGCTTCGAACACTGCTGAGGTCTCGTTTGCAGATGGCCTCCTCTGAGGACTCTGGGAACCCTGCTTCCAACCGTGCAGTGCCGTTCCTCCTGGCTTGTCAGCTCCACACGGCTTCTGTAGCACCTCACCACAGAGCAGCTGGCGTGGGATGCTCTCCCTTAGTGCAGAGGCTTCCTCTGGCTTCTGTGGAGAAACTCCTCAAGCCTGTTTGAGGGTGAATTGTAGATACAGGGTAGAAATCCAGGGCGGAGGTTGTAGATGCAGGGCAGAAATCCAGGGAGGAGGTTGTAGATGCAGGGTAGAAATCCAGGGAGGAGGTTGTAGATGCAGGGTAGAAATCCAGGGTGGAGGTTGTAGATACAGGGCAGAAATCCAGGGAGGAGTTTGTAGATGCAGGGTAGAAATCCAGGGAGGAGGTTGTAGATGGAGGGTAGAAGCCCAGGGCTTGGAACAGGCTAATAAAGTAGGGGCAGTGTTCATGTCGTTTCTGAGAATGGCTGGAGATTTTTCTAGGAATTTTAAAAGTTTGGATTTTTTTTCCTGATTGTGTGTGGATATGTGCATATGTGAGTGTGGGTGCCCAGAGAGGCCAGACTTGTGTCTTCCTTGAGATGGTTCTGGTACTGCCTTGTCATTCTCATGGATAAGCAGCCCCTCAGGGGTGGGGGGTCCTGCAGGGTTTTATTGTCTCAAAGAAGGCACCAAGGAAAGGGGCAGGGCATGCCCGTTCCCTGAGCCTTCAGCAGAAGCAAAGGCTGTGATGGAGGCAGGGCCCTGGCTGTCTCCTCCGTGTGAGGAGTGCGTGTCCTGCCTGCTGCAACTTCAGCTGTTTACGAGACTGCCGAGGGCGCCACCTGATGTCGTGGGGAGGCGTGGACAGTTAAAGCATCTCTGTCCTTGACCCCGCAGTCAGGAGAGGCATTCAAGGGACTGCGCAGGCCTAGGGGAAGGTCTGATGCTTGGCCTGACTTTGGTCACCTGCTACAGTTTGAGCTTTGTAGTTTATTTATGTATTTATTTGTAAGCAGTGTTGAGCATTGGAGGGGTCATACTGATAAACTGTGTTCGCAATGCCATTATAACAGAATGGCACGGCGTCCCTCTCCTGGGGAACATAAGCACAGCCTTTCTTCCTTTTTCATTTTTAAAAAATAATTCTGTTGTGACCTGTAAAATCTTCAGGGCCATAATGACTTCATAAATCATCAGGGCGCCATTCTTTAGAGCCCAGGGGAGGAACATACTCCTCCTCGCAGGTTAGAAGACATTTCCTTTGAGAATTTGGCCTTGAGATGGATTCCATCCCTGGCAACACACTGTAGGTTCGCTTAGCTGTTGCAGGCCTGCTGTCCAGCAATGGCCGTGACTTGCACTTTCTAATTCCTATTCCTGTGGCTCAGAAGACTCTGGAAAGAAGTTTCTTTGTTTCCCTCAGGCACAAGGATTCTGGGCCAGTGCGTAGCTCCACAGGGGATTGTAGAAGTAACCGTCTTATTAAATAACAAATACAGAGCCAATGTAAAGATGAAAGTCCAAGAGATCAGAGCTAAGAGCCTTACCCTTCCTGCTTCAGCTGTCCTCTTCAGCCAAGAGACCTACTCCTATGTGTTTGTCTTTATATAGACTTTCTGTTCTGCCTTCTCATTGGTTGTAAACCAAACCCCATGACCGCCTCGTCACTGCCCGTCTGTACAGACCTCCAGGTTTTCTATGGTTGGTATTGAGATTGAAGGCATGTGTCTCCATGCTGGCTGTATCCTTGAACACACAGAGATCTGCCTAGCTCTTCTACCAAGTGCTGGGATTAAAGGCGTGCACCACCAACGCCCAGCTTCTGCTATGGCTCTAATAGCTCTGATCCCCAGGCAACTTTATTTATTAACATACAAATAAAATCACATTTCAGTACAAATAAAATACCACATAGGGGAGCCCATGCCCAACAAGTGCAGGAGGAGAGCGGTGCAGTGGGTCGGGCAGAGAAGGGCAGTGTCAGGGAGAGCACGAGCTCTTGCGGCTGCTGGACTGAGGGAACCTAAGTGTGGGATTCGTCGATCACCTTTGTCTTCCCCTTGCGGTTGAGCCGAGAGTCTTCACTGCCATCACGCTGTGGACAGAACTCATCATCCGTGGATATAACTCTGGGTACAGCCATGGGTTCGACACTGGGCCTTGGGACCACCAGGGAACCCAAATGTGGGGGGCGCCTCCTGCTCACTGGGCCCTTGCCGCCCGCACAGCTCAGTGTTGACTTTCCCTTGTCTCACGGAGTGGGTGTCACCGTCACACAGCCTCCCTGGTCTAACTTGTGTAAGCCTTGTCTCACAATTATGTGTGCTTTCCTCAGATGTTGGCATGCTACAACCGGGAGGGAAACTGAGTCATTTCTGGTGGTTTTATTCCTCAGGTATGAGCACATCCTCCTGGAGCCTGACCCAGTTCCGGCCTATGCTCTGAAGCTGCTGGTCGCCATGACGGAACACAACCCGGCTTTCACCAGGTACTAGGAGGCCAGCATTGCAGTTGCCAAGGGGGTCCCTGCTCTGTGCTGTCATCATTGGTGCGGTTGTGGCCCAAATTCACATGTTTTAATCCCTCACTTGAGTTTGTACCCATGGAATGGATGCTGCCTCAAAATGATGAAGCTTGGACACAGGGAGATGGCTTGGAGGACCTGAGTTAGAATCCTGGAAGTCACGTAGAACTCAGATTCATAGTATGGGTGTAGTCCCGGCACTCCCAGGGCCAAGAGAACCCCTGGAAGCCAGCAGGCCAGCAAGCTCAGTGTAGACATGGAAAAAACAGCAAAGACCCTGCTTGAAAGCAAGGCAGCAGAGGCCAGGACAAGCGGAGGTTGTCTTCTGAATGACACTTGTGGTGTGGTACATGTGTGGCGTATGTGGTATGAGCACACTGGCATACACAAGTGAACACATGCACATCTTTACACACACACACACACACAACCCAAATGATAAACTCTTTAAAGGTAAAAAACTCAATACACAGCAGCATTTTGTGTGTGTGTGCACGGTGGTCTTTGTTTTTTCTTTTTTGAGACAAGGTCTCACTCTGTAGTGGAGGCTGGCCTCTGACTCCCTGTCCCCCAGACTGGTGTCAAGCTGGCGCCAATCTTGCCTGCAGACATGCGCCACTGTGTCCAGATTATATGATTTTAAAATGTCAGGGTGCCCTGCTCTGTAGTGAAGGGGCCATTCAGTCTTGGTTGGATTGTTGGTGGCTTTGCTACCGCCTGCTTGAGCTGGTGTGACTTGGAGCAGCGAGAACTCTGCAGCTGTTGAGAGCCCTGCAGACTGCAGGGCTCAGTGTGTTATTCACTGTGTACCCAGTCATGACAACTCGGAGTGCACCAAGCCTGCACCCCTTCCTTTGTCCGTTTTGAAGCTGCATCCCCAGTTTTTAGACCCTTCAGACTGAGCGCTCCATCCTCTCTTCCTAAAGCAGTTGAATTCTAAAGTTTCTCCCAACAGCCGTGGAATGGAGTGGAGATTCAAGACTGGTGTTCTTAGACATTCACATCGTGAACTTTCAAAGTCAGCTTCATCTGTCAACATGGGAAGGGGGACCCTCATCTGAGCACTTGCCTCCATCATATTAGCCTGGGGGTATATCTGTGGGGTATTTCTTGATTGCTGATTGAGGTAGGAGGTCTCAGCCCACTGTGAGCAGTGCCGTCCCCAGCAGGTGGCCTGGGCAGCAGAGGGAAGCCAGTGTGCAGCGTTCCACTGTGGTGTCAGCTTCAAACTCCTGCCTGAGTTCCTGCCCTGGCCTCTCTCCTTGATGGACGGTGACCTGTGAGGTGAACTTAACCCTTCCAGGTGCTTTGGTCATGGTGTTTATCAGCCGCAGAGGAGACAGGACAAGAACATACTGCTGTTCTTTCTGGTCATCGAGCTTCGGCCACCTCACTTACTGCTTTCTCATCTGTGCTGGGATCAAGGTGTGCCAGGCAAGGGCTCTGTCCCCACCTGCACACAGCGCAGCCTTCGTTCTCGTGAACTAGAGTCTCTTCCTGTACTGCAGGCTGACCTCAGACTCACAGCCTTCCCAGACAGACACCTGCTGCTGTGTCTGGTTCTTTAGTAACAATTGTTCCTAAGGCGGGTGTTCTGGACTCCATTTCTTCTATTCATCTCCATGCCCTAGAGAAGAAGGAACACAATGAGCCGCCACAGAACTGTCTATTTTGAAAATGATTACATCTAGGCTTAGAAGTTAACTCACTGGTTTTTTCCCCCTCTAAGCATTTTAAGAAGAGGAGTCAGTGAACTGATTTTTAGAATCATTTTGTTTTGATCTGTACAAGGAAATTTTAGAATATATTATCTCTGTCTTAAATTCTAACAGCAAAGCCACGAGGTTCTCTTCCTACCGCACCCCTCACTGTCTGAATATGCCCCTCCCCAGTGCAGGAGTTGGCATTTTGGTGCGAGACTGTCCTGGACAGCTGTGACTGCATCAGTTACACACACGCACATATCCTCAGGGAGATGTGTGGATGTCCTGAAGTGTTGTAACTTTGCATTGTGGTGGTCGATTTTTAAAAATTTAGACTATCTTTCCCTGTTTTCTTGAAAATTGATTTTTTTATTTATCAAAACACCTTGGTGCTCTTTGCACACCAGTGTGTATTTGTACTCTTGGTGATGTCTTTGCTAAACTAATGCGTAAAAATTGGATTTCATTTTATTTGGCATTCACTCAACTACTCATAATATTGAATCTTTTCCATTTTTGTTTTCTATGTCTAATTAAAATAAAAGAGCTACATTGCAGGCTGTGTATGGTGGTACACATCATTAACTCCAGCATTCTGGAGGCAGAAGCAGGTGGACCTTTGTGAGTTCCAGAGCAGCCTAGTCTATATAGTGAATTCCAAAAGAAGAAGAAAAAAAAGTTGAGCATTGCACAACCAAAAGCAAGTTGGGAAGGGAAGGTTTTTATCTATACTTCTACATCACTGTTCATCATTGGAGGAAGTCAGGACAGGAACTCACACAGGGCAGGAACCTGGAGGCAGGAGCTGAGGCAGAGGCCATGGAGGGGTGCTGTTTACTGGCTTGCTCCTCATAGCTTGCTCAGCCTGCTTTCTTATAGAACTCAGGACCATCAGCCCAGGATTGACACCACCCACCATGGGCTGGGCCCTACCACATGAATCACTAATTAAGAAAATGTCTTATGGTCCGATCGCATGGAGGCATTTTCTCAATTGAGGTCCCTTCCTCTCTGATGACTCTAGCTTGTGTCAAGTTGACACAAAACCGGCCAGCACAAGCATTTGTGGGCTGGAGAGATTGCACAGTGATTAAGAGCTCTGACTGCTTTTCCAGAGGAGCTAAGCTCAATTCCCAGCACCCACATGACAGCTCACAACCATCTGTAATTTCAGTTCCAGGGGATATGATGCCCTCTTCTGGCCTCTGTGGGAACTGCATGCGCATGGTACACAGATGTACATGCAGGCAAACACCCATTTAAAAAAAAAAAAGAAAAGAAAAGAAAAAGAGCCACATCCCCTTCAGTCTTCACTTTGTAATGTTCCCCAGGGAAGTCCACAGGTTTCTCCCGAGTCAAGTGATTTTTAAAATGGGAAGCTTTTAAATTATAATTTACAGGACTTTACATAAATATAAAATTAAATTATGACATAGCCATAATATAGGATAGTATAAAGTAGCCTAAAAGGGGAAAGGCACATTTTAAATACTAATACACAAAGTAGCTGAGTCATTTTATTAAATGAAGTAAGTTATTTACCCGCCTCGTTCATTGATTTACAGATTGATCGATTCATTCATTCCGCTTGAGAGATGATGGCACTGTGTGGCCCAGACTGGCCTTAGATTTGTAGCACACTCCTGCCTCAGTCTCTGAGACTGCAGGTGTACATGCCTAGCGCCCTCACCCCCGCCAGGAGAGTGCTCAGACCTTGACAACATTCTGAGACTCTGGGGTTAAGAGCAAAGTGTTGAACACCATGTCTTCCTGTTACCTTTACTGAGATCCCGTGTGCATTCAGCAGCTCTGAGGGGAGGGGAGGCGTCGTAAGTGTGTAGCTAGACTTTGGGTTTCGATTTTATTCCCAGAATTTTTTTTTTCTTAAATACACTTTGAGTAGAATGTTTAGCGATTATATTTCTGGTTTTTTTTTTTTTGTTTGTTTGTTTTTGTTTTTTGACACTCATATAGCCAAGGCTGTTCTTGAACTTGGTATGTAGCTGTGGCAAACCTTAAACTTCTGATCCTCCTGTGTGCACTTCTTGGACAGAGCGAACAGTACAGCTCTGAATATTCCATCTGCACTTCACAGATCCCTTTCTGGAGAAAATGCTTATCTTTTAGACTTGAAGATATGGTTAACAACATGGGCTGTTTGTCACACATGGGCAGATAGAATCCTTTCCTCAAAGGGTCTGAGCTGGTGGTTCCCTAGTGTGTCTCTAGGAACTCTGTTCATAGTCAGATCCTCAGCCACACCCAGGCCAGCTCCGCTGCAGTAATTGCTGCTTCCGAGGAGCTCTATGAACCAGCCTAGGCCTGCTGGCCACCGGTCTCTGCACCAGATGTGCACCAGCCAGCATTAGGGGGATTTCTAGGTGTTTGTCACCCTGACACGTGGAAGTGAGTGGCGTTGCTTGCCGGTTTTATTGCAGTGTGGTGGCTGGTCATATCTTGTTCTGTTGTCTCCTTTGTGTCCAAATGGGATTCAACAAATCTTCTGTTTCTATTCGGACCTCGTGCCAGGGCTGTCACCCACAGGCCCTGTGGCAAGTGTCTGCGGTCTCATTCTGCTTTGAGTGACTTGGTGGCCATGGGTTTGTGTAGATGCATGTCACAAGAAGCATTCTGTTCTGTGCACACATGTTTCTTGTCAAAGCATAACCAGGAGTCATTGTAATCAACATACTTATTGGACCATCACTGTCAGTTCTCAGAGGATCATATATCGTGCCTGCATTGAGAACCAAATAATTGTTGGGGTTTTAAAGTACCCTGTGTCACATGAAGCATTATCTTAAACATTTTTTATTACATTTTACTTTCCATATGTATATACATGTGCACACATGTGGACATGAGAGGACTGACTCTCTCCTTCTACTCTGTGGGTCCCAGGGATTGAACTCAGATCCTCAGGCTTGTCTGCAAGCACCATCCATTGCCTGCTAAACTGTCTTGTTGATCCCCCACATCATTTTTAAAATTTTACTTTATAGAATTTTTAGTGGGTAAAGCAACCCTTAAAAGCTTGGTATTAGTACTATTGAGGATTTATTTTACCCACTTCTAAAGAGAAATAAGTACATGATTATGGCGGTTTGAACGAGAATGACTCTCTTTCCCAGGTTCATATGTTTGCATGCTTGGTCCACAGTTAGTGGAACTGTTGGGGAAGGACTAGGAGGTGTGTCCCTAGGGGTGGGCTCTGAGATTTCAAAAGGATGTAAAGCTCTCAGCTACTGCTCCAGCACTGTG